AAAGGCAGAAATTGAATACAGATTATTCTCTAGATCCAATTCCTTGTCTAAAGGCCAATTAATCTTTTAAAAGGTACTTTATATGGTATAGTTTGCCATTTTCCTTACTGTAGAATTGAGCTGTAATGAAGCATCATTGCAAAGAAGTGGATACGGATGTCAGTAATATGAGAGCAGAACAAAAATATCTTGCTACTCACATTATTATATCCACATATTACAAAGGTCATTTATTTCAAGAATCAGTACAGACAATACTTTCTACCTAGAATAACTTCCCTCATGCTGTCATAGCATATCATTGTTTAATAGAGTTTACCAATTTATTTCTGTAAAAAGTGTGCCTTTGCATTTTCCTCCTTTTCTACTCTCTCAGAAAACTATACAGTAACTTTTTGTTATTAATGAAAATGAGTAGGTAGGATACAAAATAAGTTTCTTCCCCAACTACAAATTCAAGAGGGCTATTTCCTCTGCAAAAGACTCTAGACCTGGAAGTCTCTCTCATGTAATGACGTTTTCCTGTTTTCAAAAAATTCTCCCCTCAGATTTTCTGACGTGTTACTTGAAAATAGTTACTATGATTGTTTTGAAAGAAAGCAACCCAAGACAGTAATATAAAAAAGTTATATATGAACCTAAATCTGATCAGTGCTATTAATTGCTACTTTTCCTCCCTCAGGTTTTGTCATAACTTCTTCATTAATGATCACTGTAGATTAGACAGCTAATGCAGATGCTCTAGTACTCTGGCATCCACAAACTGTTTTGTCTTTTAAATGTATTTGAAGGGTTGTGGTTTTTTAGGTTTGGGCTTTTTTTTTTTTTCCTTTTTTTTTTTTTATAACAAAGTACCAGAAATGTTAAGATGTGTGGTAGTACATTGCTTCAGCAGTTCATGAACTGCTGAAGGAGGCATAAGAAGAACAAAAAGAAAGAAAAAAAAAAAAAAAAAAAAAAAAAAAAAGAGTAAACCAAACAAACAGAAAAACTCTGCTCAGTACAAAGGAAAAATATAAGGACCAGATTAAAAGCGTGTGCAGTTCTGCTAAGAAGCCGGTTATATTTTCCACATCTTCAGACATCCTAGATAATACAAACAAAAGTATATCCTCAGCAGAAGATTCATGAAAAAATAAAAAGGATCTTGAGCAGCTGGCAACCATTCTGGTCTCAGCAATAGCTGCCTTTAAGGAGCTATCACATAGAAAGGAGAGCAAGCTTTATCCATGAAGCTTTATCCTAAAAACCTAGACCCCTTTTTTGGCAGCTCTGGATATGAAATACCTGCCACTTGAGAAAGCGTAAGCTTCAGCAGCACGAAGTTTAACAGAAAGACTGTTACCAGAGTCTTACATTAATTGCCCTCATTATGGTACTGGAACATGGGACCAGAATCAAACCGCCCATGAAACCCCTGAAACCAACACCACGCTTCTCCTGTGGAATTATTCCCAGATCTTACTGCTTGCTACTCACATTAAGTGCTTTTAAACAGACCTACATTTTTTAAACATAGAAGTACACGTAGGACTGCTTTATCTATTTATTTGCTTTACTGTAGCAAAAAATTGAGCCATGTAGTCACAGAATTCAGGAGTCTTAACACAGAACTTGAATCAAACCAGGCCTGAAGGATAAACCCAATTTACTTTGCAAACCTGAAATATATTAGGAAAATGAAAACTGCTTAACTGTTCTTAGAGTTTAATCTCTTTGAAAGAAAAACAACAAAAAAAAAGGTCAAGGAAAATATTTAAGCAATTTAATGAAAAATCAGTAAACTTCATTAAAAACCTCACGTATTTTGGTACAAAGAATGTCCTCAAAATACTCAGTTCTAATCTAAGTTATAGATGGCCTGTATATCTTTTTAATGCAATACCAAAAGTTATATAAAATGGCTAGGAACACAGCCTTTTTTTATTCCCCGCCCGCCCCTTCCCCCCGGGCCTTGCTGTACACGGTCAAATCAACAAGAGTCACAGGAAGGCAAACATGTCCCTTTCCATGCTCTGAAATGAAGTTTACGTTCTCAGGAAAGTGATCCTAATGGATACACAGGAGGAATGGGATGCTCTTCTCTCACGCTTCAAAGGTACTAGAACTTATCAACTTACTCTGCAGGACAAGTCAACATCCATGTACGATCTGCATATGCTACCTTCAGTATCTCCAAGGGCATGCTGTCCGTCACTCCCTCCACCACTACAGGTATACAGCAGAGGTATACAGCAACATTTAAAAAGTACCATTGGAAGGAAAAAGACTAGGAGATTAACTCACTCCAACCCTCAATTACAGTTCTTGACATATTCACGTTTCAGATTTTGTTTTGCTTAAAAAGAACTGTACTTTAAAGTAAAGCAGTTCCCCCTGTAGAGATGAAAGGGGAGGCCTTGCTGCCAATTTAACTACACTATGGTAGGACAGAATCTTCAGGCAATTAGATGTTCCAGTAAGATAACTTGTTTATTTCTTCCCTCTTTGGTTGATGGATCAGAATTATGCTGAAAAATGGTCCTAGGACACGTATTCAGCTACTGTACTATTTCAACTTTGGAAACAGAAGGACAGGAAAAAGTTATTTTACCAGTCTAAGGAATATCCACATTGAATTACTTCCAGATTCAGTTATGGAAAATGGAATAATGAGTATTTGGCAAGGAAACTACCTATTCAATATTTGTGCCTAGACATGGTTGCTAAGATAATCTTGTAAATTTTTATTATGAAAAAAGCCTTCATCTTTCCACACAATTATTAATCTTTTGTATTGTGGGTATCTTGATCAGGAAACAAATTAATATGTGGAAGTTCAAGAAGTTAACTGTCCCTTATTTGGAGATTCCATCATCACTTAGATGCTTCCTGAATCTTTACGAAGACTCTCAGGAACTCTATAGCCCTTGCATTTTCTTTCCCAGTCATTCCATAATTACTGTCAGAAGAATGCACAGATAAACCATTCCCTAGATGAATGTCACAGTACATCAAAACTACTAAAGAAATTTCTCTTTCACAAGGATCTGAGGAAAAGATTCAGTCTTCAGCAACTTGTGGGAATAATCTCCATAGCCTCTCTCTTACTGAGCTTGTCTAGAAAAGGACTCGTAATGAAAACAGTCCAGATTTTTTTGAGTCTCTCATTTATAAAAGGAAGAGAAACGTGAATTTGTTCTAATGTTTATTCTTGAGATATAAAACCTTGATTAATTTAGAGAAAGAGATAAGAAGAAAGAGTGGTGGGTTTTTTTAATGAAAGTATCACAAAGGATATCTAAAGTATCTGAAATAGAGATAGTTAAAACAACTCTCTTAATTTTCATTTCCAGATGGTGGGGCAAGGGAGGGCAGAAAGAACTGCTTTGCTTTCTCCTGCATTGTTCAGAACACAGCGCACAAGCCACGAGAAGAAAGAAAATGTCACCTTCTCTACTTCAAAAAAAAAAAAAAAAGTAGATGAACCACTGGAGTCACAGCCAAACAAACGAGGGTGCCTTGCTTTGTCAAACAAAGCAGCTCTAACAACAATCTAATCAACTTTCTTTTCGTGGAAGAGTTACTGAAGTCTGAACTGGAAAGATGGAAATTCAACAAAGGCAAGTGTAAAGTAGTGCACCGAGGGAGCAATAACGCCATGCATCAGTACAGGTTAGAGGCTGACCTGCTGGAAAGCAGCTCTGTGGAGAGGGACCTGGGAGTCCTGGTGGACAACAGGATGACCATGAGCCAGCAATGTGCCCTGGTGGCCAAGAAAGCCAATGGCACCCTGGGGGGCCCCAAGAAGAGTGTGGCCAGCAGGTCGAGGGAGGTCATCCTCCCCCTCTACTCTGCCCTGGTGAGGCCACATCTGGAGTACTTTGTCCAGTTCTGGGCTCCCCGGCTCAAGAAAGACAGGGAACTGCTAGAGATGGTCCAGCAAAGGGCTGCAAAGATGATTAGGGGCTTGGGACATCTTTCTTATGAGGAAAAGCTGAGAGACTTGTGTCTTTTTAGTCTAGAGAAAAGGAGACTGAGGGGGGATCTTAGCGATACTTATAAATACTTAAAGGGAGGGTGCCAGGTAGATGGGAACAGTCTTTTTTTCAGTGGTGGCCAAGGATAGAACAGGAGGTAATAGGCACAAACTTGAGCATAGGAAGTTCCATCTTAACATGAGGAGGGACTTCTTTACTTTGAGGGTGGCAGAGCACTGGAACAGGCTGCCCAGAGAGGTTGTGGAGTCTCCCACACTGGACACACTCAAAACCTGCCTGGACACCATCCTGTGCAACCTGCTGAAGGTGACCCTGCTCTGGCAGGGGGGTTGGACTAGATGATCTCCAGAGGTCCCTTCCAACCCTGACCATTCCATGATTCTGTGAAAACTGCCTTAGCATGACTGAAGCAGAAAAATGTTGGATATTAAGTTGTGTTTGTTTTAAGGTTTTGTGTCAGTTTCTGGTTGTTTGTTTGTTTTGGTTTTTTTTTTGTTTTTATTTTTGATATCACCCAATCTGTTGGAGGATAAAAGCTTATAAATATATGCATTAGTGAGAATTTATCTGAATTAATATTTTTAAACCAAGTACTGTACTATTTCTTTTCCTGAAGTAAAGCTTTTCAGACTCTCATAAAATGTTTGTTTCATTTGTATGATTACTATGAATCTTACACTCTTACCTACAGATTTGCAAAATCAAAACCTCAACTTTCATTAAAAATACTATTACTGGCTGTTCTACTCTGAAATGAATCTTGAAAAGATCATCCATGTTATATAAAAGCTAAAACACAAAACCAAAAAAACCCTCAAAACAAATAAAAACCCAAACAAGCTTCAAGTTTGGTTCCCCCCCAACAATGTCACTTGATTTTGTCCCCTGATGACACAATATGGCAAACAAAGTAATAATCTCCATTCCACTGTGAAGCTGTAACGTATGATTGTTTTCATTTCAATTATACTCAACTCAATGTCGTTATTAACAAAGATTAAAAAAAAAAAAAATTAATACCTCAGTCTGACCTTCATGGGCACTGGATTCATGAGTGACACGAATAGCCTAAAATCAAAACATATTTCAATCAGACTTTAAATAAGAGACTTTCAGTGTTTTAAGAATCACTGTATGCTCTTCATTTTACCAAATGCCATAGATGTAACTATTTTTGTTCAGTGCTCATAATAAATAAATTAAAAAATTAATAAACAAATCATCTCTACTTCCAAGCATCTCAGAAGACCAATATTTCAGTTTCATCATGGTCAATTCAAATCAAATATCCAACAGTCTGAAACAGCACTTTTACACACAGAAAACACTATAGGCAAATGTTTTTGTGATATATTACTTCTCAAGCAGACAAAATACTTCCGATAGAAGCAACATTTCCATAGAAAATGTCATCGAACCTCTACTGTTCGTGTTTGTTACTACTTCCCTCAGCCACATGTTAACACCCATATGCCTGAGGGCTTCACAATAAGCTTAAATTGAACTCAGGCGTGGAAATCATCAAGATTTTCATTTTGAGAGAGGATCATCATTACCTTCATGAGCAACAGTATCATTTTCCCCTTTCACCACTGGCCAGATCTTTCTGCATCATCCTTTCAAACAGCACTAATGATCTGGCTAACCACATTATCAGCTAGCTCATCTAATTGTTTGGGTGGTGGGGGAAAGAGATTATATTTCAGCCAAATCAGCATTTTGTGTGCCCCAAACTGCTAGAGCCAAAGAGAGATGACTAGAAGGCACAAATGAAAGGAAGCAAGAGAAGGACCATCCTTTCAACAATAGCCCCAGATCAGCTTAAATTGACCATTAAACTGCATCCTGAACCCACCAAAAAGATTACACACACATTTGTCATCCATTTCAAAGTCATTTTAAACTAAGCCAGTGAATTAAAAGGTATGAGGAACATCGACAAAATCCATTCTGCTGACTGTGCTATGGGCAGGCAGGAATACTTCAAACTACCAAAGCAGGGTTTTCTTTGTAGCCACTGCCTGATCACAAGCTCACATGTAAAATCGAATTGTTTAAGTGTTTCACTGGATCAAGTCCTAAGGACAGTAAACTGCTCATGCAAGTAATTCTTATACCATTTTAAATAAAAGTAAAAACACATGATACTAACTTCATAAGTTTCTAGATATTTGGCCCTCTCTTCAGGAGTCATAGATAATGAATCTTCTAGGAACTTTTTCAGTGAAGAATTAGTTTCTTAAAAAAATAAAAAAGACATAATTAAAGTCATGCTTTTTATCTCCAACTTCATTCAAAGCTTACAGAATGCTTATAGCCAACAAAAGATTTAAAGATATAACTGCATCGTATCTTTAAGACACTGAAGGCTGACTGCAAGAGGAACTGCTACCTGCTGCAGTTTGCAACGTTTTGAGTGCTTTAGTTCATGGATTAGTATGACATACTGGTTTTATAATTATAGGTAGAAATGCTCTTTGAATACAGATCATCCTTTATGTATGGTTATATTCAGAGAAAATACTACAAAATGTATTCTTTCCTTCATGCCTCCCCACAGTTAAAGAAAAAAAGGGAAAAACCAACAAAAAAAAACCCAACCAACCAAAACTTACCAAAGTTCATCTTATCTCTGTTGTTCGCAATGGCATGAATTAGCCCAATTGTTCCACAAGCATTGTTAATGGTCTGCTTCATGAAATACACTGATGATTTGACATCTTGCCCCTTTGCTTTTATTCTCTCTTCTTCTTCTGTTCTGAAGGTTTCATACTAGAAGGAAAGTTACAGACATTTCACAAATAGTACAGATAGATACTGGCTATATTATTCAAGCAAAAATAATTAAAAAAAAAAAAAAAGCAGCAGCTAAGTAATAAAAACCAAAACTCAACCTGTAATTTAAAACACTTAACACATGTGGTCCAACAAGTATATGTAAACTTACTCAACTGAACAGGTCTACATTGTTTCTTAAGCCAATACCTTGTCACTAGTCAAAACCCAATCACACCTGAAACATCATTTTGAAATGTGTTATCTAACGTGATTTCAGAAATGTTAAAAATATTTCCTTGATCTGAGCATCTGTCACTGCCTCTCTTCAATCCAGCAAAAAACTATTAAGGACAGAGGTCTCAAAGCGTTATCAAGCAAACCATAATACTTCAGGTGTTTAATCAGCATGAAGCATTCTTACAAGTTCAATTTTTACAGTTCATTTTTCCAGGAATATAAAATAAGATTTATATAATGCTCATGGCCTAAAAAAAGGCCACTCAGAAGCCACATTCATAAAGTATTATTTTTCTGTAATAAAAGAAGTAATTTAGTTTGATTGAACAATCTAAACTACTTGTTTTTTAAAGATCACAATTGACTACAATCTGTTATACTGTGCAACAGTGTGTTGGTTTTGTGGGGTTTTTTTTGTTGGTTATGGATTGTTGATTCTTTGGGGGGACTGTTTTTCACTTTTGTGTTTGCTTGGGGTTTTTAAATAACTTCTATTTTCAGATAATCATCTCAAACAGAAAAAGAATGAAAGAAAACTGCAAGTGTTTCAGACAATGCTGTTCTTTCTTCCTCCTTTGCCTCTTTTACTAGGTACTTTTGCAGACAAAAATATACTGAAGTAGATGGGCCTTTTATACAACTATGACAAAAGTAACGTTTGAATACAGAATGTTATCAAGGAACTCTTCCTGAAAACCCATGAGAAATTTCTCTCAGACTATGTATCATCAGTGACAAAACCAAGAAATATTTCCAGCATCATGATTCCACACTTGCAGCTTGTCTGAATATTCTGAAAAGTCTAAGTAATGGCAACAGCATTTACAAAGCATTTTAATTTGATGCCACTTATCTACAAGTTAACAAAAATAGCTTTAATTGAGAAAAAAAAAAAAAAAATCACAGAGCAAGTCAAAGCAGGTGATTCTGCCCCTCTACTCCACTCTCGTGAGACCCCACCTGGAGTACTGCATCCAGCTCTGGAGTCCCCAACATAAGAAGGACATGGAGCTGCTGGAGAGCATCCAGAGGAGGGTCATGAGGATGATCCAAGGGATGGAGCACCTCTCCTATGAAGAGAGGCTGAGAGAGTTGGGGCTGTTCAGCCTGAAGAAGAGAAGGCTCCGGGGAGATCTTATTGCGGCCTTCCAGTACCTAAAGGGGGCCTACAGGAGAGCTGAGGAAGGACTTTTTACTAGGGCATGTAGTGACAGGACGAGGGGGAATGGCTATAAACTGTAAGAGGGCAGGTTTAGATTAAACATTAGGAAGAAGTTTTTCACTTTGAGGGTGGTAAGGCACTGGAACAGGTTGCCCAGAGAGGTTGTTGAGGCCCCGTCCCTGGAGGTGTTCAAGGCCAGGCTGGATGTGGCCTTGGGCAACCTGGTCTAGTGTGAGGCGTGCAGGGAGACCTATGGCAGGGGGGCTGGAACTCTATGATCTTCAAGGTCCCTTCCAACCTAAACCATTCTATGATTCTATGATAATCAGACAAAAGTTCAGGTTACAGAAGGTAAACAATATAGCTGCCATTCACCCCCTGCCAACCAAAAGAAACTCCATGGCAAAAATAAATATATAAATGTTGAGAATACTGCAAATACAATTTTGAGCAAGTGTTAGACGAGATCACCTCAAGAGGTCCCTCCTAACCCGAGCTATCCCATGGTATGTATTCATTGGACCATGCCCAAAATGCCCAGCGCTCACAGTATTCACTCTGTCTAGAGCCTACAATGCAGGCTAAGAAAGACACTGACCTTTAAACTGGACAATAACCCTAAGAATATCTGTATGCTAACAAGAGTATCTTGCCCGAAAAGCAAGTTCAAGCAAATTGACATATAGGAAATATAGAAGAAAGGAACTTCTAGACAGAACAAAGACGTGATAGAAAAGTCTTTACAAAGGCAGCAAAATTAACTGATGCACTTTCATAAACGAAGACATGGAAAACAACGTCACAAAGGTGACAGAAAGGAAATTTCCTGAAGACAGGTGAGGACAGTTAAGAGTTTGCTTAAATTCAAAACCATCATGGTGGCTGAAATCAAGCCTGAAAAGGACTGCCTGTATAGCTGTTTTGGAGAAACTGAGAATGCAAAGGTTTATAGCACCTAATGAGTAAGAGGACTGACCTCGTCACTCCTTTCTCTATTTAAACATGTTTTGTTATAGAATGTAAGCTTTACTAACTAACTGCTTTGTCCTTGTAAACCACGTGTTCTTTTTGAGAGACCCATTAAAAAGAAGTTTGGGCAGATTCACCTCAAATTTTTTAGCTAACCTTATCACAATCATGAAGATTTTTATATATTGAAAGATCAATACGTATCACTTGCTTCAACCTACGTAACACTCAAAAGATATACGCAAGATGGATGTTTCCTCTATGTAGAAGCATACAATGACAGACAATAAACAGACTTGAAGATTTAACCAAATCAAGTATTTCAAAGCCTAACATAGATGAAGAAGGGAGGGAATACTCTCTCATCTTAGAAATATGCCCCATCTGCCCAAGAAGTGAAAGCCACATTGATAGTGATGACTGAACTAAAAGTGGATTGAAATTTGGTCAGTGCACCAGTACAAAAACTCAAAAAGCAGTTGCATTTGATATAGTCCCACACCCTACCTCTTATTTTGCTTATGCTATTGTACCTTTCTGCTAAAAGTAGCAGAACTGAGCGATTTCACAGTGCATATTTTAGGAAAAAGAAAGGGCTTAAATTGTCTGTAATAGAAAAATGTGAGGTGTGCTTCTACATTAGCTTTTCCCACTCCAACTTGAAAAGAAATTGGAAGTACAAATGTAAGGTTATCAAAAGAAGGTTCTGAAGGAAGCATTTTGTTGTTGTTTTTAATTGAAGAGTCTCCTGAATAAGGTTTGAGTTTCATCTTAATTATATTATGACACCAAAGTGCAAGACACACACTCTTCATTCCCATTTCATTTACAAGAAGAGTGATTAGCTCATTATTAAATAAACATTTACCTTTTCTGTTATTGGAAAGAGAAGTAGCACTGCACAGACAGGTCTTGGCACCATGCTAAGCAGTTCTGGTTCCATACCATAAACATCTACAAATTGCCAGTCAGGATGTATACCTAACTGCTTGAGAAACTGGAAAAGAAAAAAAAAAAACAACAAAACAATAATATTAAATGAGTATGCTTATATACCTATCTTTTTAGAAGCATAACAGAGTAATTACAATATGAAAGACAAAATACAACAACCCATACTTTCCAAAATTGAAGGAGAATAAGGGAGAATAAACAAGATTCAAGTTTTAATAAATAAATAAATCACAGTGCTAACAAAGACAAACAAAATTTCCATGTTTTATTTATTTAGATAGCTTTATGAAAGGGAAGTGAAATCACTATATACCAAAGCATTTCAGCCATTTTGAAAGTATTCTGTCACAAAATAGAAGAGTATTGAACATTCACTTTAACTAGAAATCACGGGTCAGAGCACGCATGAATAAACTCATGATATTATTTGATTCCATGAGTACTTCAGAGTACCTGACACCAGTGCTCATACTGGAGCTGCTGGGTTTCAGCAACTCAAAAAAATTGTTATCTTCGATGGCATTTTGAGCAAAGAAAAAAAACAAGATACAGATTTTAGTAGGTGTACCTTTTAAGGTGTTCTACATGAAAAATCCTTTCAAACTGTGATAAGAGTAACATATTTTGAAGCAGAGAAAGATTAAAAGCCAGACAATAACAGTAAATCTTGAAGTATTTCTCAGTTGCTTCTGTAGAACTTCTGAGTGGCATCTCAGGCAAAGGTTTTCTGATCCTCTTTCCTACACTATAGCTATATGTCACAATACAAAAAGTGATTCTTTATATTTTACCTAACATTAATCTACTTTAGAAGGAAAGAGAGACTGTGGCACCTACTAAGCTTTGACAACCTAGGCTGACAATTGGGTGCTCACTTTTTAATCAGATATTCTTCTTTTACTCGGACAAGTTATGTACCACAACAACACAATGTGTTTAAGAGTCCTTTAGATGTGGTGTTGGGGGATATGGTGTAGGGGAGAACTTTGTAGAGTAGGGTGGATGATTGGACTCGTTGATCCCAAGGGTTTCTTCCAACCTAAACAATTCTATGATTCTATGAATAGTTGCAGAATTAATAACAATATATGATCTAAAACAGTTTGAACTGTTTGTATTATCAAAGTCCAGAAGAACTTAACTGAATTCAGAAACTATTACTACTATACACACACTGACCATTCATAATTATAAAAAAAAAGCTAATGGTACACTGTGGCATACAGCAATCCTATTTTGAAACAATACTTCTACCAGTAAAAGAAATACATTTTGGAGAAAAATTTAAAGATGTGGGAGCCCTATGCATTTTCCAAAATGTTAACATTTCACAACTTACTATATTTCTGCTGGAAAAATCATATTCTAGAGGAAAAACTTACCCAGTTACCTGGGGCTTTCAAGTTTAAAGTAAGAAAAGCCTTCTGATAAACAGCTGCAAATTGAAATGCCTGAAAAAACATGCAGCAAGTAATATTCCTCTACCCCCTGTAATGGGAAGGAATAAAAAAAAAAAAAACAACAAAAAACAAACACTCCTGAAGCATTTCTTTAGCCAGTTCTCAACAAAACTCAACTCTGCAGTTCCCAGTACTGTTCCCTAAAGTGATACTGTCAAAGACCAGAGTAATCTTCCCATTATCTTTATGGGAGGGGAAAGATTATTTTAAAAGCTTCATCATACCTCCTGCCCAATGCTATTTGAGGAAATCTATTTATTGATACCTTTGCAGTGAAGATGCTTAAGAATCATGTAAGATGATAAGCCTAAATGAAAGACATAGATGACTCTAGACGACTCTTCTTTCCATAATCCACCTGTTGAACAGGTGTACATGTACGCACAAGAATTCAATAACAGTTATGCCATGTTTGAGTAGATTCATACCTATATAGGTGTAACTGTATGAAATACTCCGAATTATTATTTTATTAAAAACAAAACATGAGAACACACAACAAAATACAAGTGCCTTCATCTAATGTGAGATCTCTTCAAATAACAGTTTCAACTTGCATTGGGCAAGAGGCAAGGTGGTTGTCTTTCAGGAGACATAGCCAAGTGACTGACTCTCAATATTTAGAGATAAAAAGGAGATAGTTTCTACAAAGGCTGAATGTATGGACAACAAGTATTTATAAAGAATAAGGAAGATTTTTACCAGTAACACAGGAATATCTTCTACAAGGGGGCAAAACAATAGAAAATATACATACCCTTAAGTTTATTAACAGAATGAAGCTGCAGTTTGCAGCCAGTGTTTTGAGGGGGAAAAAAAACCCCAAACACACACCACACTTCACCATTTTAAATACATTATTCTCTTTCCTTTTTACACTGCAAGACATGACAACAAAACCAAGGGCAAGCAAAGACAATTTAAGTTTGAAAAAAAAAAGTTTTAAGAGTATATTGGAAAAAATAATATGGCTTTCTGTGTATCTACTGTAACAACCCATATAGCTCACAGAGCTAGTTCAGTATTTGATTATGGCTGCATTGCAAAATATGGAGATTTTCTTTTCATAAGGCCATGCAAACCCTTTTCCCCATTTTTCCCTTTTTCTTACACTACCTACTAATAATGAAGAACACGGACTGACCATAAATTCAAATAGGAAAAGGAGGATGAGGGGGAAAATGAAGTGTCTTTATCAAGCTCTTTAAGAAATTTTGTTCCCTCATGTAGAGATTTGTGGGACCAGGCACAAGTCATAATTACGGCTTTGCAGAACCTACCCTTTTTGACTAGTTTAAAGAACAAGGTAGTTTTGAAGTACAATAAGAAAATTCACTCAGAAGATTGCTTATGTAACACCCCAAGCTCTTTTGGTTCTGTACCACCTTTAAGTCTTGCCAAGGTTGGGAAGAAGGCCAAATTACTATCTTTTAATGAAAATGGAGAAAAGGGAAAGTGTTAAGTATTTACTAACTGATAAAACAGAAGACAGTATTTTTTTAACTCCTATTCTAACCTTCTAGGTTGTGAAGGTATTTACCACTTTGTGAATAGCAAAAAAAAATCCGAAGGGGAAGGAAGTACATGTATAGGAGCATTAAAATATTATTTGTACTCCAAGTACTTTTCTTAAAAGCCAGTAACTAATCTTTCCATCATTTTTACTGCTGTTATTCAGAACTGTGGGAAAAGTAATGCAACTGAAAAAAATACTATTTATTATTTTGTAAGATTATATCAAATGAAGGTATAAAACCCCAACAAAATAAAAACAACACTCACTTAGAAAAAGGCCCCACAACCAGAAGGATCACATTAAGTTACTGGACAAATATGTGATTTAGGGTCTCCTGTCCTGTTCTACTCCACTAGGGGAAAAAAAAACAGCCGCCTACTAAAACAAACAAACAACACACCACCACCCCACCCTCCCCCCCCCAAACGCCAAATCAACAAAATGCTCCCGAAACCCATGAATAGCTACTCATCCTCCTGAATGAAATCTTCAACATAACTCCAACTCCACAGATAAAGGGTACCTTTCATTATTCACATTACCATACTGCCTAGAAACTTCACAATCTAAGAAATTATAAGTTTCAATATACAATGAGAGTGATGACTAGAAGTGATGGTCAGCACTACAGAGAAAAAAAAAGAAAAGATAAAGATATGCTTCTGAAAATTTAGTGAGTAGATGAGAAAAACCAGCAGCATAAGCCCCTGTGTAAGAGAAATTGACAGATGGGTAACAGATGAACAATAGATGGCAGGATGAGAAGAACCCTTAAAACAAATAGATGGAGCTTGCCTTTAATGTGAACACATAAAAAAAAAAAAAAAGAGTTCAGTCAATGACACAGCCAGATAGGTAATCTTTTGCCACTGCGTTCTGAATGGGTAAAAGCAAGTTAAGACTGTATTTAGCAAGGTCAGGGAGAAGAAATTTTGTAGGAATAAAAACAAGTTGTTTGGAACCAGGGAAAGTTCTTTACAGGGACAAAAGTCCATACTAGATGTGACATAGGCAGGTCAGAAAAGATGTCACAAGCAACAGCTTCAATTTTGGCAAGTTACCTGAATATCTTGGCCATAATTAAATTGAACCTCCTTTTTTTTTTCTTCCTCCTTCAGTCTTTTTCTAGCTCTTTCCTAGGCCAGACAAAGATGCTGGTACAAAAAGCAGTCAGCTATGCACCGGGAGGTGAAGCAACCCCCTTCCCCACTGACAAAAGCATTCCTGTTTTAGGACAGCAGGCAGTTCTACATGCTTTTTAGACAGTGCCATTCATAGGGAGGGACCTCTGCTGCTTTCCATTCCAATTATTCAGTGATTACCGAAGCAATTTTATTCTACAGATACCTACTGGACAGAGCAGTTAGGGTACTTTACACTGAATCCGAGGGCTCACTCACATTCAGCTGTTTACTTTCTCTTACCTTACTGACACTCCATACTCAGGTTAACATAAAATAGCAGCTTTGTATTTCTCTAGACCTGCACAAGAGAGTATTAGATGCTCTTTTTCAGTCACTGCTTATCACATTGCTGACTATACTTAATTTATGTCTTCGAGCACTTACTTTAGAAAAGAAAAAGACACTTGGCTACATTACAGAAGTCTTACAGGGGCTCAAGAGTAACAACAGCAGCACCATCACCACCAAAAAACACCACACGTCTATGTAGTTTATCTTTTTCAGAATTTTATTTTTACTGACTGTTGTCATATTTTCAGTTTCAGTTGTCTCTTTGCTTCTAGTATTAAAATACCTTCCTGAAAAACACTTCTTGGTTTTTCACTTGTCCAGCTAACCACTGGACAAGAAGTCACTTTTGAAATTACTTTCCCCACACCACCCCTCTTATCTGCACTTCTCGTGAACCTCTCCTTTTTTCCCCCCCCAGTATTCCAGAAGGCCCTTCCTTCTCACCTGATTATTACTGTTTTCAACTAGCTTAGGGGGAGTGCTGAGAAGACAGAGACAGACTCACCTCAGCAGTTCACAGCTGAACAATGAGAAACAATGGACATAGGTTGGCATGCAGGAAATTTGACCTTGATAAGGAAAACATTTAAAA